GCGCCTGCGACGAGCACCGAGCGGAGAGAGCGGCAAGCGCGGCCAAGGCTGCCCAGGCACCGGCAGGAGAGGCCGGCCGGTGCGGCGCAGGGACACGTACTCAGTCTGACTCGGGCTGGCACTGGTGGCTAGGAATGTCGTCCTGGACGAGGTGGCATGGGCCCGCCATGGCGCGGTTCTGGGGCTTCTGCTGGCTGATCATAGGCTTCTGGAGGGCCGCTCTCGCCTGTCCCACATCCTGCAAATGCAGCGCCTCTCGGATCTGGTGCAGCGACCCTTCTCCTGGCATCGTGACATTTCCGAGGTTGGAGCCTACCAGTGCGGACCCTGAGAACATCACTGAAATGTGAGTTCTTCCTCCCTCCTTCCCTCGTCGCCCCTAGGGCCTGGGCTGGTCCGGCAGGTCCGTCTTGGGCATGAGTGTTGTTTCAAGTCTGGGGAGAAGTCAGAGGTGAGAAATACAGGACTGGGCCATCTGTCAGTTACCTATTTCACTGCCTTAGGGCTGCTAACATGAGAAGTGTGACAGTTTAAAATGTTTTAAATATTATATGTCTATTGTATTATATTCCTATACACCTTATATATCAAAGCCCTGCTGTGTGTGCTTTAGGCTTTCCATATACAATAACTTAGTCTTGGATATTTTTGTTTCATAAGGTGCTATGTGCATGCTGTGTTAGGAGAAGTTCCAGTAATATTTACTAGAAAGGAGGGTAAAATAATTAACTTACAAAAAATCTGTAGAAGGAAGTTTGAGTCTCTCCCTTACCGTCTTTCTCCAAGATTTGGAATTCACCAGTTTTCCTTTTCATTTTATATATCAGGTTTTGCTTAGGAGATTGCATCCAGAGATGGCCTTGAAAATGATCTGTAAGAGGAGAAGTTCTGAGTGTTGAAATGCACTCGCTCAAAAGGGAAAATGTGATCGTTGGAAGCCTAAAAGCCTAGTCTGATCTAATTTGGACTTGACTTCCCAGAGATAAAATGTTGAGACCATTTGGATTATAAATCTTAATTGCCCATTGAATAATTCCCCAGGACGAGGATGAATGATAAAGCAGTATGTAGTACTCTGGCTGAATGCTGCCTTTAGCCTGGGACCCTGAGGTCCCGGGAAATGTTTGTGCTTGTCCTGGTCCAGTGGAGAAGCAGAACTGTGTGTTTCTGTCCTCCTCTTCTGATGCCTTGTGACAAATTCATCACCAAGTAGGAATTCACCAGTCCTTTCTCCAGCATTCCCTTGTCATCTCTCCTAGAGGTGTTGTTTTCTCCCCCTCTTTGCCATTTTATACGTTTCATTAACATGAGATTTTATCCATCCATATAGAGGATTGTAAGGCACAGTTTCTCTGGGTTGGCTTTCTTGATGGTGTTTGACAGCAGGATAGGCAGCCTGAAAGTAGAGCTTGGGCTGTGGCCTTCCGGTTGGCGACTGCGCATGCATTTACCCCCACCCCCCACGGAAAACGCACACCCTGGTTGTGCCAACATAGTTGACCAAGATAACCTGTTTTTTAATGTAAGTAAGAGACCTTCCTTGGCTCTGTTGTTTGTTCTGCTGGTGATTCTCATGTGAGGAGTCTCAGGCAGAAGGAAATGACAACAGAACAGAGGGGAAACATGCCGGTCCAGTAGTGCTAAGATGTGCCGGGAGCAGCCAACTGTCAGGCTGGATCCAGGATGCTCAGATCTCCACTGTTTGGGCAAGGAGAGCAGCAGGCAGGGCTGGAGGGGAAGGGTGGGTAGGGCCCTGACCGCTGGCCCTGGCTTGGGCTGGTCCAGGCTTGCCAGGCTGGTCAGACTGTCTGTGGCCTTTTGTTAAGATCTGTGTCTTTTTCATGAGATGGGGTGTCGGTAGTCAGATGGAGTAAGCCATATGGAATTCAGAGCCCTTCAGACTATTTTGAGACCATGGGGAGTGCCTGTATACAGTTAGATATTGGTTTTTTTGGTAGTTATTTTAAAATTTTGTATTATGTGATAGATGTATAGTGAAGGAGGAAACATAGGACTAATGATTTTTTTCACTTTACTATTCTTTAAGGCCATAATTTGAGGAAAAAAATAAAACTCTTTAAATAAAAAAAATACTATTTTACACCTTAGTGGTCTTAGCTGCCTAATACATGTGAAATTAATAGATTTGAGTAGAGCTTTCTTATATCAGGTCTCACAATTGTTGTTGGTTCTTTTTTCTCTGATGGCAAGTTCCTATTTTCAGGCTTAAGTTTTTTTTGTTTTTTTTTTTTAATATTTACCAAAGCATTTATCACAGTTACTCACTCAGTAATGGCTAAGAGTAACTCCTAATTTCTACTCATTTTTTTCCTTTTGATTTGAAAATTCATTTGAGATTGGGAGAATGGAGAGATGTGTAGGCTAAGTGTTTAGGATGAGGAATCAGGTTAGCAACGTGAGTCAGGCTGATAGAGGTGAGCTCTGAGCAAAAGGACTTTTCTCCGCTCATTCCCTCAACTATATTTGAGCCCAGTTGGTTTGTGCTTCAGTGTCTTTATCTGTAAAATGTATTGAAATCCTTGTTTGGAAAGCACTTCATATAATTATTTTGAATTCTGCTGCTTTGATATCAAAATGACATCAGTGGATGGGCCTGTTTCGTTCTCATCCTTATATGACACCATCTGTCCTCTCTTTCTTACATATTAATATTTGCTTGAACAGCTTTTAAATTCTTGGCCAGTGGATACCAGCTACAGTTGGAACCAAATTACACTTTTTTTTTTTTACTTTGTGATTAGACCCAAAGCTATTCCTAAAATAACCTGTTTTAAAGTTCTAGTATAATGGTATTTAGCTGAAATTACATGTTTCTATTTTTTTTAAAATAGGACTAGTGTAACTAAATAAACTGTGATTAGAACTTGCTGAAGGAACAGTTTACTGTATCATTTAAAAATAGAAAATCTTTTAGTATTGATATGTTGGGGGAAAAGTACAACCACTGTGCCTTCTAGGGTTCAGAGAGAGCCCATGGTAGAACAATTTAAAAATAAATACATAGACTAATTAAGAGAGAGGATTTTATTTTTTATTTTACGTGCATATTTTAAGCCAAACTGACATTTCATTTTCAGAGTCATTGTTTGAACCTGTTTTATTAAAAATCTTCCCATCACAGTATGTCTCATACTCTTTACCCACTCATGTGACCTATGTCTAGATCTATATCTTTCTGTCTGTAGATACACATCACACCTGCCCACAATCACAATGCTGATCTGTGCCAGCTCCTGTCGTTTGGAGATGGCTATACCAAAGCAGTGCTAAGTTAAATTTAAAAACAATACTGTTGTCACATATAAATGGGATTTAAGAGTGAAGTCTGTTGTTGGATTTATGTAACCTGCCCATTATGTCCCAGATGTAGCAAGTGACAAAATGCTTTGCAAAGGACAAAAGTTCTGTCTCACTCAAGTGGCAGAAGGTATGGTTAAAATACAAAATAGGTCATGGAGTTTTTAAAATTGTGATCAGAAACACACGACATAAACTCTACCGTGTTAACCATTTTTATGTGTACTGTTCGATATTGTTAAGTATAGTCACACGGTGGTGAAAAGGCATGCATATTTTATGAAGATCAGTAATGACTTTTCCCCCCTAAATTTCTTGGGTGACATTTGATGATTTTGAATTAATATTTGGAGACCAATGTAATATTTTTCCTCTTAGTACAACATAAATAGAATTTGTAGCTTCTGCTGCCAGAACCTCTGTGTGCAATTTATTATTGGCTTGGTTAAGCGGCTGTAATGTTATGTCATTAATGCATTGATTCTGGCTCTCTCACCTTAGTGAGTTTTTCTCCTGAAATTAATTGTACTAAGAAGAATTCTGGCATTTATAAGTATTCAGTGAAAGGCATCAGTTTTTATTACTCTGGTATTTACTTCTCAGCCCCTCCACTGGGGCATCGAGAATTTTGAATTGTGCTTTCCGTGCGTTTAAGAACCGCAGAGTAAGTTTTGAGTGTGATTGCATAAGTCACACTGTACTTGTTAATAAATAAGGCAGTCTAATTTACCTCATTCATTATTTAATACAACTGGCAAGCTGCTGTTGAAAACATGCTGTCTTCCTAGTGAAGGTATTTGCAGAACTCAGCTCAGCACAACCATTTGAAATCTTCTTAGTTTCATACCTTATATCTCCACATCATGGAGGTTTTTGTTACACTGGGTGAAACAATTGAAAAGCTCCATGACCTCGTGACCCTACTTTCTTCCACCTCCCGCTCTCCATCACCTCTCATTGACTATACAGGAAAATGTGTTTGATTTTTTTCTTCTCCGAAAAGTGATATTTCCTTATGGGAATTCAGAGCACTAGAGTTAAAGAGAAAAGCCTGACTTATATGTTATTACAGGCAAGTAATGGGAAGTCGAGATGATGTGGTCACAGCTCCCCAGCGCAGAGTTTAGTTCTGTTTAAGATCTTTCACTGTTCCTATCCCATAAACTTCTGTTTGTGTTGTTTCAATATTCCCTTGTAAAGGTATATTCTAAGCTGAAAAACTGGCCGAACAGCTGAGAGTTGAGGTCTGTTTCTCCCCAGGAATATTCTGTATGATCTCTCTGACAGTCTGTAGGTTGTAGGGGTATAAAGCCAGGAGTTTTTGTTTAGCTGGGGAAAGGGAATTGAATTTCTTTTCTTTTTCTGCTTTTGCCCTTCCTTCTTTCCTTCCTCCCTCCCTCCCTTCCTTCAATCCTTCTTTCCTTTTTTTTTTTTTTTTTGGCTTTGCCTCCATTTTAACTCATTGTTCATCTTGCCTGTTAGGAGAAGAAACATTATCAAGCCATTATTGAATATCAAACACAGACATCCTCCCTCTGACTAACTTTACAACTTCTCTAGAGAGCTTCTTGTAGGTTTAAAAACTGTAGAGTAGATTGTGGCGTTGAACCTGCTGCTCCTTGGAGCACTGTCAATTTTTGGTTCTTCTTGGTGGTTACAAATCAGTTGGATGATTTGAGGGAGAGGTTATGTAGACAGGGCAATTTGTTTTTTCTTGTTTGATGTGTGTGAGAGAAAGAAAGAGATAGAAAAAAACTGAGCCTTGGGTTATTACTAGTTGACTGATTATTTTCATAATCTATTTTGTCTAAGTTTTAAAACCACAAATCCCACCCGCCAGGTGGCAGAGATGTGAGCCCTGCAGTGGCCTGATAATTTTAGCTCCATATTTGATTTCTAATCAATCTCTATTAAAAAAGGCAAGGATCTCACATAATCAGGATGCCTTCTCACCACTCACTTTACTCTCTGGGCTGTCCAGAGGACTGGGAAGTCATAAATATTGATCTGGGAGATGAAGGAGTGAAT